CATCATGTGTGACACTTCAGTACTTCAATCAGTTGCCGTCCTGGGTTGAGAATCCGGGAGTTGATCCAGCTTTGATGAGCGGGAAGACCGCGGAAGTATTAGAAGAAGCCATTCAACAACATGAGAAATTCTGGACGCATGTTGAAGAAACCTATGCTGAAGTAAATACTTTTATTGTGAAGTAATCCTGATATATACAAACCATGTGCCCGATCTTATATGCTGTGGCTCCTTTTGGTGCAGTCTAATTGCAGCTGAACATGAAAAACCGCAACTAAGGTACTCTAGGCTTTTGCACAAGGATCACAGCTGGCGCAGTTGTTGAAATCGGTAGACGTCGATGATCTATTTTCCAAAGAACAACTTGGAAAACTTACCAGAGCTCATAAACATCTACTTTGTCTATGGAAGGAGCGAAGGGTAATTTTTCTTTTTTTTCCGAGTAGTTTTCTTTCAGTGATACTCTCATCTATCCATGGGCACATATATTTCACTTAAATTACTTCTATACCAAGGGCGCAGTATTTGTTTATTCGGTTTGAATTTCTTTGTGAGAATTTTATGTCAGTATCGGTCTACCTGAACTAACCTTTCTATTCAGCATCCTCTCTTGAGGCTTACCGTAATTTGGATTCCGTTCTACTATCTGCTTCGCATAGCTGTCATCTTGCAGGTGCGCCTTCACTCGATGTTGGCTTTAATAGCATTTCGAACCGACACCCAACTAGTTGTTGAATGGCTAGAACAGCATGGCGATCCATACCTTATGAAGAATACAAGCATAGGTTAGTGATCTCTTGTCCTTTTGACAGCTGAAGCCTTATATTCTGTGCTCTATTTAGGTGAAACTGTGGAACAGGCTCGAACGTTGCAAAGAAATCACAGCCATTTTCGACAAATCGCGAAAAATACCTATTCGAACGCCAATAAACTTTTCGAAGCCAGCAAAGCCATACTCGAATCGGGTAACAGCGATTTATCTACTCTCAGATCTTGTAAAATTTTCAGCTCAGCGGG